TGGACTGAAGAAGGTAATGGTAAGAATGAGGGCCAGTCCAGACAAGACTGAGGTGCTGCTAGTCAATGGCAAAGCTGCTTGAGGACTGAGGAGTCAGTCTCTTTTGGGAGGGGGTTGCACTCCCTGAGGGATCAGGTTCATAGCTTGGGCATACTGCAGTTTATTTATTTATTTATTTATTTATTTTCATACTTATACCCCGCCCTCCCCAGTGGGCTCAGGGCGGCTCACATAGGCAAGAACAACTTGCCATGATAAAACAATATATACAAAACAGTTTAAAACATATACTACATATTAAAATATAATAACAGGTGCTCAAGCTCCCATTCATAATCTAAAAGTTAGAGTGCGAGATCTCTTCTGTGGCATGTATGCTTGGCTGATATGTTTGGTTTATCAGGTTTGGCTGATATGCCAGTTACAGCTGTTCCTCAAACAGTATGATTTGCTTACAGTAAACCATACTGTGATTATATCCAGGTTAGATTTCTGTCTCTGAAAATAGAAACTTGTTCAAAATGTAGCAGCCAGAGTATAGTCAGAGGTGAGATACAGGGGATCCTATCACCCCAGTGCTGAAATATCTGTACTGGCTGCCCATTTGTTTCTAGACACAATTCAGAGTGTCACAATTCTTGTGGCCACGGTACTTGAAGGACTGTTCCTCTCATATTCTGGCTGCCTGCCGGTTGAGATCTGCCTCACAAGCCCTGCTCTCTGTGCCCTTGCCTTCAGAGGCTAGGCAGGTGGCAACCAGAGGCGGGGCTTTTTCAGTAGTGGCACCTGACTTGTGAGGTTCCCCTGGTATCTGTGTTGCTTTCTTTTAAGTGCCAGGTAGGAACATTTCTGTTCACCTGGGCTTTTAATTAAGGGGTTGATTTTATAAACACTATTTTAGACTGGAAACTGTTATTTTAAGCTTCCTGTGGTTTGCTTTTATCATTTGTGTTTTTATTCTGGGCTGGGTTTTTATTGATGGATTTTAATTAATATTGTTAAATTTTGGTTTTTAAAATTAATTTATTGTTTGTTTTTAGTATTTTTATTTTGTAAGCCACCTCAGGCAGGTTCTTAGAGAGGTGGTATAAAACAAACTTTAATCCCCTTATGCCTCAACACTCTATTTGCAGGTCTGTTAGTCCTTGTCCCTGCAGGCAATTGCTGATAAATTATATAATTTCTGAAGCTTTTCAGCATGTTGTTCTTTGGTTTGCACCTGCACATCAGATTTAAAGGACAGTTTCCCTCCTCTAGAATTGAGGAGGACCACCTTGACAGCCTTTTAATTGCATCTGGCCCACCTGACTGCCGAGCACTTACTTGGGGTTCTGTATTGTGTGTTGATTGTTGTTGTTTTTTTGGCCCCCCGAAGGGGAATTTTTTATTTTGCATTTTCTACACACTACAAATATGGGATGTGGAAAGGAATACTAATGCCCTATTACTATTACTATGGGAAATGGGTCAGGGAGATCTAAATACATAAAGTCTATTGGATAGGGGAAGGAAAACTACCACTCTATTCTAAATCTCCTACTGGATATGGGGATAGGGTAAAGACTAATACAAATCACGATCTGAAAAGCTAAAAGAATAGATCTTTTTAACCTATTAATACAGGTTATACAGAGATTAGTTCGATTATACAAATATAAAATTATTAGCTTGGCACAATTACTGCCCTTAGCACTCATGCTTTGGTTTTCGAGTCTTTTCTTCTTAGATTTCTTCGTTTTCTGCAATTTGGGAGTGGCCGCTCCTTTCTCTGATTCAGATGATTCTGATGACGAGGAGATTTGGCTTGTTGAGTCCTGTGAGTAGGACTCCTCCTCCTCTTCTTCCTCCTCCACATCCGGTTTTAGATTCTTTTCCTTCTATATACCTCACTGGCAATAAAGAGCTTTCCTTTCATGAGGATCTCACAGAGCTAAAGTATTTCTTCAAAATGCCCGATCCCTTGTAATTCCAGCGCTCAGCATGGCTCCCTGTTTGTGGCTTGCACTTCTGTTTCTTTTTTGGGAAAGGGAAGGACCTTGCTTCTACATGCTTGAAGTCTGCAGTTGTCGATTAAGCCTTCTTGTTTATAACCCATTAGTGGGGCCAAGGCAACCGCCACAAGTTCCTTTAAGTCCTCATTCTTATCTTCAGGTATCCCATGGAAACGTAGAACATACATGGATCTTTCCAGCTGGAGCTGTATTAGTTGCGTTTTATCCGAGGATCTCTCCTTCTCTGCTTCATCCACTCTTTTATTAATACTCTCAGTCTGCTTTTCCATCTTTTTCAACGTTTTCTCGGTTGCTGAGGTTCTCTTATTCATCTGCTTTAATTGTTTTTGCACATTATCTAGTTTAGTGTTGAGAGTAGTCATCTGATCCATTAGAGGGTGCAGTGCATTTGCTAGCAACGAACAAAAAAGTCTGTAGATGCTTCCTGGTTCTGGGAGGGAGTCGTTGGTGTGTTATTTCCGGTCACCAGTTTTTTCTCCGGCGCTCTCCGTCCTCTCCCAGCCATAATACCAACAAGAAGTAAGTTTTACAAAACAAAGCAAAAGTTATGCGTTTTAATTCCGCTTCGTATATTTTAGCAGCTTTTGTGTTCGCTTAACTTCTTATACGCTTAGTTTGGCTCAAAGTCTTTTTATTTTCGATTTAAAACTGTTTTTACAGTTTACTCATATGGTGTGGGGCGGCTTGAAATCTCCTCCCCCCGCGCTTCAAACTTAGGTGCTTCCAATTACTACCAAGGCTCCATTCACTTATTTTTCACCTGAGCTTTGCTTAACTCACAGTTTGTAGCCTTGGAGATCTTTTGAAAGTCTTTTTAGAAGTTTGATCGTGATTGTTTGCTCCGGCAGTCGTCTCTGGGCACCATACTGGCTCCGCGGCGACAGTACCTATTGGGGAAGAAGGTGAGCCTCAATTCCTTGGGCGTCCCCTTGGAAGAGGCTCTCCTCAGCTCCCCAGGCTGGGGGTCTCCTACAGAGGCCCCGGGGGGGGGTCCAGGATGAACTCGAACCCCTCCCATCAGCCGGGTCTCGGCACGTCTCCATCTAAGCGAGACGAGACAAGATGCGTCCGAGTGGCAAAACGCTTAAACCGGAAGTCTACTGTGTGTTGATTGTTGAGAACAGCATTTGAACTTGTTGGGTATCACTGAATTTACTGCAGAAGCCCCGCACTCTGTGAATGCTCCTGTTTACTGGTAAAGCATTTCCTGTGTCTAAGTTTACTCAGGGAAATTCCTGCTACTCATCTTTGCCCACTGATCTCACCTTTTGGATTGTCTCTGCATTCTGTTAACGTCGTACTCTCCATGCAGCACTGAGAAGGATCCCACAGCTTGGAGGATTATAGAGGGTTATTCCTGGAATAAACTAGAACTAGTGTGACACTTTCTTCCTGTTTAAAATACTGCAATTTGAATTTTGCAAATTAAGCATCTGATGGTACAGAACCAAATTCAAGATGTATTCATATTGTATATAGTGAACATTTGCATAGGCAATGTGGAGCTAGATTTGTTTGGAATTATTAAATTGTTTCTTTCTGGAAAAGTGTTCTGGTTTGGAGGTACTTAATATTACATGTCAGTTGTTTTGAATAAAATACAAGTTGGGTCAGTTTAAAATAACTGGAGAGACATTTATAGTCGCTGCAATAGAAAAGAGAGTCCAGTAGCACCTTAAAGACTAACAAAATTTGTGGTAAGGTATGAGCCGTGAGTCACTGCTCACTTCTTCAGATTGTGGTTAGTTATGAATGAGTTTGCAGGGTGACAATGTTCCTTCATTAAAGTTTGGAAAGGCAATTGTTAGGGTGGTTGTTCAGGAGATGACCAGGAAACCCCCCAGAATTTTCAGATTTTTGAATGGGAAAGTTAAACAGTTTAAGAAAATGAACAATCATAAACTATTCTGTCTTAAAATGTTTTTTTAAGGCAACATTTTGAAATATTATTTTAGGTACCTTCTGGCAATCTACAGTATTAGGTAATTAGAATTCCAGTATAACTTGTAAATGCTCCTTCAGATTCCTTCATATGTAAGAACTAGACTATGCGCACCAAATCAAGAAACAAGAAACAGCTAATGTAGTTTCAGTCTTTCTGGTCCAGTGAGATAAGAAGTAAATTCAGAATGGGATGCCATTAATCTTTCAGAAACTGGTTTTGATTGGGAAAAACCTGAACTTTGTAATCCAGTCAAAACTATTCAGTGTTTTTTTTGTTCCTTTGTTTTTAAAACATCCAACTTTTTCTAGGTTAACACATGCACACACATACACGCTACAGACATCCTTATGTATGACTAACATCTATGTCAGTTGAAAGTTGCTTGTAGCATTTTGAACATTTCAAATAAATGTACCCTTCGTCTTATTTACGTCCCCCCCGTGTGGTGCCTGTGGGCACCATGGCACCCGTCAGCACCTGCAGGAGCCCACCAAGTGCTTTTAGAAAAGGGTGGGGCTGGGTGGGGCTCCTGCCCAGCAGAGCTTCTGAGTGGCCATTGGAAGTCTCATTGGCTGTGCAGATTTTTAAAAAGGTTGCTTTGGCAGCAGGGCTTTGTAAGCCTCATGGGATAGATCAAGTGCTAGTTCTCCAGTAAAAAAATGTTAGCATGGAGATCCAAGATGCTGAATTGCAAGGCACCTTTCAGTCTCCAGTTCCATTTTCTTCACAAGACCCTTGCAAGCTTGTAGAAAGGTTGTATACATAGAACTCTGGGGAAGAGAAATACATATCATTAAAGTCTGGTGCCTGAGCTCTTTATCCTGTGTGCTAACAGTGTCCTTGAACTTATGCAGGTTTTTTTTCTCATGAAGAATATTAGGTAGGAGACAGAAATTGAATATGACAGGAGAGTAAACAAGATGTAAAATGGTTTTATTAAACAGATCTATTTGTACAGACTAAGTGTATTACTGTTCAATTTCAGAGTGTTGCCTAACAATTAAGTATCATGTCTGACAACATTTATTACTGTTCAATTTCAGAGTGTTGCCTAACAATTAAGTATCATGTCTGACAACGGAGAACTTGAAGACAAGCCCCCAGCGCCACCTGTTCGGATGAGCAGTACTATTTTCAGTTCAGGAGGCAAAGACCCATCGTGTACTAATCATAGCTTGAAACCCCTGCCCTCTGTGCCAGAAGAGAAAAAACCTAGGAACAAAATCATCTCTATTTTCTCTGGCACTGAAAAAGGTAAGATACTGTGTTTTGTGGCTTCAAGACATATGAGTTTGGGGGGGGGGGGTTTGCCAGGAAGAGGAGTTACTCAATGCTAATGATGACTGTGTCTTTTCTTGCATTAAAACTCAATACTGAAGTCTGGGAAGGTGACTTCCTGTGTGGTAAACACAGTGATGGGCTGGCTGCCTCTCTCTTTGTGGGCTTTCCTCATAGCAGAGTGAGAGGGACAGAAAGAGAGAAGTAACAGCCAGTTCCACCATGGTTCCCTCAACTGGGCGAATGCAGCTGAAACGCTTAGGTAGGTGTTTGCTTTTTGTTTGTCTGTGTCAGGAATGGGGTAGGGGAGCCTCAAGGATCTCTGCTGAATATGCATGGCTGGAGGAACCAAGCAGAGCTAGCTCCTGTTTTACTGCCTGCCTCTCTGTGAGCGAGAGAGAGGTCATCCAGAGATTTGGGCTGAGTTGTCACCATTATGCAGATGATACTATTTTGCAGTTCCAGCAAATCCCAGAGAGACTATGGAAGCCCTGAACTGGTGCCTGGAGGCAGTTTTGGGATGGATGAAGGCTAACAAGATGAAGCTTAAATCTCAACAGAATTGAAGTGCTACTGGTGGGAGGAAGGTCTGACTTGGTAATAGGCATATGCTCTGTATGGGGTTGCACTCTCCAAAGCAGCAGGTTTGTAGCTTGGTGTTGGTGGTGGACCCAGGCCACCTGTTGGATAAACAGATGGTAGTGGTGGCTAGGGTCTCCTTTCATTTACTTCAGCTGCTGTCCCAGCTATGGCTCTTACTGGGCAGGAAAGATCTTGCCACTGTGGTGCATGCCCTGGTAACATTAAATTACTGTAGTGTGTTCTACATGAGGCTGCTGTTGAAGAGTGTCCGGAAGCTACAGTAGGTACAAAATGCTGCAGCCAGGACACTGAATGGAGCAGGTTGTTGGGACCATATCAGTGCTATCTGCACTGGATCCAGTTTGTTTCTCGGCCCAATTCAAGGTGCTAGTATTAACCTGTAAAGCATATCTGAAGCATTGTCTGGTCTCATATGAACTTATCTTATCATTCCAGTCATCTTTGCAGCCCTGCTTCATGTGCCCCTGCCAACTAAAGCTAGATAGGTGGTAACCCAAGAAGGGGCTTTCTGGGTCTTGACACTGAAATTTTGAAACTCCCTTCCCAAGGAGTTTGATTTCTCTCTCTCTCTATCATTGTCTTCCACCAGTGAAGCCTTCTTTAGTTTGGAATTCCTTCATTAACTTTCTTTCCTGTTCATGTGTTTTTGTGTTTGTTTGTGTTTATTATGTTTTATTTAATTGTTTTAAATATGTGTATTTTAAGTGCTTTTTTAGTCTCACAGATATTTTAATGCTTTGTTTAATGTTCACTGCCTTGGTGACCTGAAATTCAGTGGAAAGGTGGCATAGAAATGTTTTAAATAAATAATTAGAGGATCAATCTAGCCAGCCAGTGGGCATCCTGTCACATGGAACCCTGTAATACAAGGCCAAACTATATGTTACATTTTTGACTAGTTTGGTCTGGGTTCCCCGGACCCAATTTTCTTCCCCAACAGTCACAGAGCAACTAGGAGGAAAAGCATTTTTGGAGTCCCCAGAACTCTTGATTGGGTTTGGGATGACAGGGCAAGTTACAGAAAGCCTCCTGCCTCTACCCCACACCATTTTCCTGAGCCCAAAAGGCCGGGGGTATTAATTTGCCCTTCTTTGAAGCTCTCTTCTAGAAGCAGCACTTTGGGACTATCTTTCTTTCTGTCCCTGAAGTAGGAGATGGTTTGCACCCTTCGTAACAGTGGATCTTGAATCTGCAGGCAGTATGTGGCAAGTTTCTCTTTTTCAGGTGGGGTTGGAAAGAGAAGTAGCTCCATACACTGTCTGCAAAATTAAAGGACAGCTGAGCTCAACAGGTCTGTCTCACCTTAATACATTCTGCCAGGATTGTTAAAACAAAGTTTAACATATAACGGTGCCTTATACCGACTGAGACTAGTTCAGTATTTAATTAGTAACTTCTCATCATCTCTGGCATCCAAGATCCATTTTAACTGAAGATGGCTGGGTATTGAACCTAGCACATAATCAGGTGCTGTGTAAGTGATCTGTGAGGGACCCTCCATAAGAAACAGAGTCATGGCTGCATAGCAGATGTACGAGCTTTTGTATTGCTAAATGTTTCTAAACTTAGTATAATTGTGTTACTAGCCAGAGCCATTTGAAGTGTTGTGGGTGTTTTGAGGGTTGGAGGATATGAGTGGGATTTAAGAAAATTAGCTAAATGTTTTGGAGAAAATGACTGAGAAAAAGGAAAATATTTACTTCTTTACCTTCCTTATATGTAACATTATCGTCTTTAGCGGTCCACCTAATTGTAAGCTTAGACTTGGCTGAAAAGTATAGCTTGCAAATATACCTGCTTCCAAAACACTGTATTTATGTGAGCTGACATGTAGAAACCAGTTTCAAATGGTCACTTTTTCTGGTTTGAAATACAAATATGAAAGCAGATAGTCTAGCTAAATATCAACACATAACATAAAGGTTAGGAAAACTGTTTGCATTGCCTTCTAAGTCTAGGTATTCTTATGTCAGAGTTAAAGAAAAAATTATAAATTTGTAAAGCAAACCAACATGCAGTAAAAGTACCTGAAAATCTTAAGGATTTTGCTTGTTGGGGAGCGTACTAAGTCTAATATGTAAAGATTTTATCATATCTAGCATACAACTCAGCAGAAGGTTGTAGATTTTTCTTAGATAGTTGCATTTTCCTGAGTGTAATATTCAGACTATCCCAGGGGAGTTTTAAAAAAAGTCTTATTTGGATCAGTGTTCTTCATTAAAACATAATGAGTTTTTCAATGTCCTTTTTTGCAGTAGGGCTGTACATGTTCTTGTCTGTATCTCAAAGTTACTGATATATTTTTGGGTGGTATGTGTTCTCTCTAGGAAATGAAATGTAACCCAGTCTACATAGTGCTCTGCCCTGAAAATAAGGGGATTGTCATTAAAAACAGAGGCATTAGAGGCTTCAGCAAGAAACTAGGGGTGTGCAAGAAAAAGCAACTTTTTTTCTGCATCCGGGTATATTGGACTAGAAAAATATTGGTATTTCCCAATATTCCCGAATCCCAATACCAGTATGCTATTTGGATTTCGTAAATATTGGGGAATCCTGAATTTTTTCAGGTCCATTAAAGTAAATGGCACATCTGTCCTGGGGGTATAGTGGTTGGGGGGGGGGGGTTGAGGTAGAAGCACCAAATTTGCAGCATAGCTGCTGGAGCCTCTCCTCAGAAGAACCCCCACGTTTCAAAAGATTGGACCCAGGGGCCCAATTCTATGGCCCCCCACAGAAGGTTCCCCCATCCTCCATCGTTTCCAGTGTGTGTGGGGGAAATAGCAAGGCAATACAAGCCTAGCAGAATATCCCAGAGAATCTCTCCAGTAGAAAGTGAAGTGTGGGGGGGCATTTTTTCCCCCAAGGCCAGCAGCAGAACCAGTGCCATTGTGGCAGTGCCAAAACCTAAGGTCAAATCTGAGAATCTCTGAAGTAGAAACTGAGGTGGGGCATTTCTGCAAGGACAGCAGAACCAGTGCAATGTAGTAGTGCCCAGCAACAGAACCCAGTGCCATTGTGCTGCTGCTGTTTAATTCCAGCATGCAGTTTTGGTTTGGGGTGGCTGGTGACTTGGTGAGTGAACTTGAGCACACCACCTTCAATGTTATCCTGCCAGGGTTCTGTAGAGGTATTGTGGTGCAGGTGCAGGTGGATTCAGAATGGCAGTGGGGAGATTGGTGGGGCACTTCTGTTTCAATCCAACTGGTTAATGGCCTTGCTACTTCTTTCTCTTCTCATTTTAATTTTGGGAAGAGCATTTCACCCCAACTTCCTTGCACAGACTGAGAGGGTCCAAGCACAAGTATGTGCTCACTTCAGTCACCCTCAAAGTCCAGGACTGGGTAGCCGAACAGTGGCAAGTTGACCTTCTGGAAGACCAACTGCTCAACTGTTCAGGGGAGCAATTGTGAGCGTTGTGAGCTGACAGTGTTGCTTGCATGGGAAAAAACCTGCTCACTTTGCACGCTTGTTGGAGGGCGTGAGAGGAGCCTCTGGGCCACGGCAGAAAGGTCTGGCCAGACCGCCTCCTTCATGGCCTAGTGGCCTGCGACTCATAGGGCTCCGCAAGGTACTCCCTCACCATTGCAGCTGCTGCGTCCTTCTGTCTCATAATAATAATAATAATAATCATCATCATCATCTTTATTGTCATTGTACATAGTACAACGAAATTAAAGGTGCAATCATTTCAGTGATCTACAGCCATACTCATATACACTCACACAACCATGTGCCTACTGCTCCCAGAGGGACCAAGTAGCAGCCCAGTGAGTGCCATCTCACAGGTCATCGTGGTGGTAGCCAATGTTCCCTCTAAGCTGTGGAGTCCTATGAGCAAAAATTCTACTTTGTGAACTCCTGGCATGAAAGTTGTGAGCCAGCGATTTGGCTATTGCATAAATTAGTTTGCTCTGGAGCCATCCTTCCTGAGCTAAGACAAAAATGTGTAAGCCGGAGGCTAAAAAACTGTGAACTAGCTCACACTAACTCAGCTTAGAGGGAACACTGGTGGTAGCTGCGGTTGGGGGACGCTGCCTAGTGGGGGAGGTGGGGGATGAACAGCAGCAGAACTGCTTTTAGCCCCCTTTTCTTCAGCTCATGCCAACGTGCCCCTCTTGGCCTGCATGCTTTCAACTTGCTGGGAGAGCTTGTCTCTCCAATAAATGAGCTCATTGGCTTGCTTGGCAATCTTGCCCTTGATGCACAGCTCAGACATGGTCACCAACATGTAGACCTTCTGCTGTGTGAGAGGCTGAAGGCGGGCTTCGAGTCCATCTTGCAGCCTTTTCACCTGCATGTGCACTGCTGGAACCACGTCTTGCATGTCCTGCAGCTGGCTTCAGGAAGGAGGTCAAATCCTCAGGAGCTGTTTGGATCATGGGGATGACTACAGTCAGACTTGCCATGTCAGATGAGAGCATCTCTGTGTAGCTCTTAAAGGGCCTTCCACAGCTTGAGAGATAGTCAGCCACTCTTCCTGGGTGAGCTGGTCTCTCCCTCAACTGATCTGGGCCCTACACAGCTAGCACTGTGCAAAGCGAGGATCCTCCATCAGTTGGAAGTGCTTCCAGACTTTGGAGGTATAGGGGCACCCATGCTGACCAGCAGCTACAGACACCCCTGGAGTTGCCTCCTGTGAGCAGCTTGGGGCAGACACACCATGTCTTGAGAGGGCAGGAAGAGATGCCTGAGAGTGAAAGTGTTGAGATGACCTCCATCTCTTCCTCTTGTTCCTCCAGCCTCCTGTTTCTCCTCAAAAGGCTTGCTGGACTTTGGAGGAACCAGAGGAGGGGCATCTAGCTCCTCCAGAAGCCTCTGGGTCCCTGGGGTGAGCTCCAGAGCCAGAACACTCTTGTCCCCAAAGCTCACCCCAAAAGACAGCTCAGGCAGCTCCTCCTGCTGCTGCTGAGCCTCAGCAACAGCAGCTGGAGGGGGGGGGCTGCCTGAGCAGCAGACCCCTGCCCAGTACCAGCACCTGCAGGCACCTCTGCAGGGGTTCCTTAGCAGCAGCCTCGATGAAGAGGGTCTTGAAGAAGAGGCTGTGGAGCAGTCCTCTGCACAGGTAGAGGAAAAGCTGCAGCCCTCCCCCTCCCCTCCACCCTTCTCCTTAGTCTTGTCCCCAGGGCCCTGCTGCTGATTGTTACCCCAGGCCAAACAGTTTTCTAAGTAGTACTTGTGGGGAAGGTATTATGCACCTAACTACCTGCACTGTAACCTGAACTTAACAGAGTCTGACACCTTTTTATGGACCCTCTCACCCCAAAATTAGGTTTTTGTCTTTCAAAAGAGCCTAACCTACCCTTGCTTCCTTTTGTTTGTTTTGTTTTTTGTTTGTTGTTTTTTTAGCTTTTTAGAACTAGTGACTTCCTATACTGAAACCTTTTCCCTGTGACTCAAGGCAGCTTACAAACCATCTGAAAAGCCTAATAGGGGTGTGCAAAAAAACTATATCATTTTTTCTGGTTCCATTATAGCCTATGGGGACCGTTATATTCAGTGATCCCCATAGGCTATAATGGAGAATTGATCTGTGGGTATCTGGGGCTCGGGGGTGTGTGTGTTTTTTTGAGGTAGAGGCACCAGATTTGCAACATAGCTGCTGGTGCCTCTCCTCAACACTCCCCCCACAAATTTCAAAAAGATTGGTCACATTCTATGGGCCCTAGAAGGAGATGCCCCCAGCCTCCATTGTTTCCAAAGGAAGGGAAAATGCCTTGTGGGCTGAAAGCAGTAATCCCTGCACTGCTTGTTACAATGTTGTCCACCAGCGCCCCCTAGCTCAGTTTAGGGGGAACTATGGTATGCATGCCTCTACTCTTTTGGGGGAAACTGAGATGTCTGGTGGGGCTGTCATTGAGCCTGGATTATTCCTTGGTGTGAAATAGTATTTTGAGTTCTCTTTAGCCAGACTTAACCAACAATCTAAAAAAAATATATCAGGGTTGCAGAGATGCTCAAATGATCTTCTGCATTAGCTTTATTTTTTAAACAATTTGTTTTAAAGGCATAATTTTGGTAGAAATTTAGCCTATTTAATGCCTTCTGTCTGTGGTTTCTGAAATCATTATATAGTCTTAAGCAAGGGCAGTCTTCAGTAAGCTATAAAACACTTTTAAAGTATTTGATGCAATTAAATACTCAAGGCTCACTGGCTTTCTTATGGAGGTGTTGATACTAAGGTGCTTCTGCAGCACCTAGAGACCTGGAATTTGGTACGCATGTAGCCAGTTTGGTGTAGTGGTTAAGTGCGTGGACTCTAATCTGTGAGAACCGGGTTTGATTCCCCACTCCTCCACGTGCACTTGGCTGGATGACCTTGGGCAAGCTATAGTTCTGATAAGAGCTGTTCTTGAAAAAGAGCAGTTTCTGTCAAGAGCTCTCTCAGCCCCACCTACCTCACAGGGTGTCAGTTGTGAGGAGGGGGAGGGAAAGGAGTTTGTAAGCCGCTCTGAGACACCTTTGGGAAGTGAAGGGCGGGGTATAAATCCAATCTCTTCTTCTAAGACATTCTAATTACTAGAAAGATAAGGGGCATTTGTATATTTAGTCAGACATCTCATTCACTACGTAATACTCAGCAAGCAAAACAACTCATAGGATGGAATGTTGTGCTGTGGTAGTTTTGTTGCCCCTTACCTTGCTTGAATTAGTCTCAGATGAATTGTGAATAGGAACCAGGAACTTGTATCTTTATTTGCAGTATTCTGGTTGAATTTACAGGTTACACAAAATGTTTGGACTTCATTAATGTACACATGGAGGGTATCAAAACCGCTACAGTAATTCCTTGTAACTTAACTGACATGTGATGCACAGGTTGAGTAGAAGAATGGGAAAACAGTAGGCCTGTATAAGGAGACCTATATAAGAAAAAGGGCCCTAAACAAAAGAGGCTGGAGTTAGATAGAAGATAAGAACTAAAGTGTGGCCAGGATGGTGTTTTATTTGCCTCCTCAAGTTGCATGATGGTTGAAGGAGACCCAACTGCTTTCTGTATTTTTACATCAGTTAAGATCATTGGGCAAATGCTGGTTTCTCAGTTTGTGGATAAATGATGGGCATTCAGTGACAAACAATCGTGTGATGAAGATATTAAAATGAATTTTTGAACCCGGGGAACTTGTAATGCACATTTACTTTGTCATTGATTACTGCGGCTTATAGATGTTGATCCATGTTTAATTGATTTTTGTATAAAGATAGGTATGCATGACAGTTGTTTTTTCTGCTCTTGTTTTTGTTACATACAGTAGTAGAGAGGGACATTTGAGCAGCTAACAGTTTGGTATAAGTGATATTTGCTTTTAAATGTTAGTGGATAGGTTTACTCCATTAAAGAGGGACTATGTAATTGTTACATTGTGCTGAATATTTTGTGAAATGTTTTGTTATTCCTTTAGGGAGTAGGAGAAAGGAAAAAGAAAGGCCTGAAATTTCTCCCCCATCAGACTTTGAACATACCATTCATGTTGGCTTTGATGCTGTTACTGGAGAATTCACTGTAAGTATACCACACTTGGCTCTGTAGCGTGCTTGGCATACTGCTGATATAAGAAATAATGTTTTCAAGTCCTATTTCTCTTCCTTGGTCTCCAGGTGTTCATAGGAGGTTTTCATTTTTCACCACTGTAAAGCTTATTGAACAAGAATTTATCCTATTAGTCCTACAGGATGTTTGTAGAAAAATGAAATCCCTATTTGCAGTTGATTAAATTTAAAGTTAAAATAGTCACTGTAACAAAGTCCAAATGATCTAGGGTGGAGGTAGAAGATGTCCAATGTTGTTTTTTCATTGTACCAACAGAGTGAGCATCAAGAGGAAACTGATTATTTTGACCTTATTTTGCAGCACATATTGTAATATGAGCCAGTGATTGGACTCTTAACCTGTGATTAAATTGTAAATTTTGTCTTCTGTTCTCAGGGAATGCCAGAGCAGTGGGCTCGGCTGCTACAAACCTCAAATATCACCAAGTTAGAACAAAAGAAGAACCCTCAGGCTGTATTAGATGTGTTGAAATTCTATGACTCTAAAGACACAGCAAAACAGAAGTATCTGAGCTTGTCTGCTACAGGTATGACTTGAGTATACTCAGGGTAGATTCATGGAGAAATTCAGGCTCTTTTTAGTCAGTGGTAAAATTGCCCTCTAAATGAGACATGTAACATGTAATGATGTTCTACAACATCAAGTGTTTGTGGGAAACAGGGAAAACATCTAATGCTGGATGTGAGCCAAATGTGTGAAAAAGAGTTGAAAGACTGAGCCCAGCATGTAAGGATTACCCAGGTGGGAGCTAAGGAACCACCAAGGGAATGTGTGACCAAGATGTAGTAGAGTACTCTAGTTTTAACCCCGATCTGGTTTCTGCCCCCCTCCCATGAGAGAGCTGGTTAGTGAGCTTCTGTTAGCAGGGGTTAGTAATGCTGGAAGAGAAGCATAGGGTAGCATCATCATAAATCATTCTATCACACTTTTGTATTGGGTTCTTAATTATCCTCCCCTTCCTTTTTATTTACTAGATCAGACAAGTGGTCCATCTAGTCCAGCATCTAGTCCAACTCAGTGGCCAACAGTTTCTCTGGAGGGCCAACAAGGCAGGCATAGATGCTGAGGCCTTCCCCTAATGTTGCCTGCTGGTATTCAGAGGTTTACTGCCTCTGAGTGAGGGGGTTCCCATTAGCTATCATGGCTAATAGCCATTGATAGATCTATCTTTTCTGAATCTGTCTAATCCTATTTAAAATCCATCTCTGCCTGCTTCTATCACTACATCCTTTGGCAGCAAATTCCACATTTTAATCACTTGTTGAGTAAATAAGTATTTGCTCTTTTTGTCCATTCTGGGTCTACTGCCAATCAGTTTCATTGGAAGTTGATACTGTCCTATTCTCTGTGATCCTTTTCACTTGCCGTTCCCTAGCATGGAATGCCCTTCCACCCTCTATTCAGCCTTCTCTCTGTTTGTATACATTCAGCCCCACAAGATTCTGTTCACTCTGGCTTTCCCTGATTGTCTGTTTCCCTTTGATTCCCCTAGTTTACCTCTCCACTAGTTTTGTTTTTACACTTAAGATGTTAGGCTTGTCAACAAAGCATGTTTTATTTTTGTGTATTGTTCCTTGAAATTGTAGGCACAAGTAGTGAGATTTTTTCCCAATTTTGTTTTATTATAAAGACATAAACATACAAGGGGGGAAATTTTTCTTTCAGTTCCTTCTTTGACAAACTCATGCCTAATTTATCATACATTTATATATTTCACCTTATATCATTGAGAATACCACTTGCAAATATATCAGGTTTGTACTTTATATGTCCTTAACAAGTTTTTAATGTGAGTTGTTATATAGAGCCATTGTCATCCTAGATCATAACATTTTACAGAATGAAATAATACAGGTCATTGTCTTGAGGAGTTAACAATCTACAATAATAACTGTGGACCTGGGGAGACCTGTTCAGTTTGGCACAGGCCGTTTGTTGAATTGTGTACTTTCTTATGAGAAAAGGTCTGTGTAGTGTGACCTGACTTGCAAGAGTGAAGCAGCCTTGGGGAAGGTGTTAGGTGGTCAGATTGGCATATGAAAGATTACCTATTGGAAGAACAGTATGTTGTTAATTGCTGTCTCTCATCCAAATGTTATTGTAATCATTTATCCCTTGAGTAAGTGTGAGTTGATATATATCCTAAGTGTTATTTGTTTTCCTAGTGGATAAATAGGCAGTGTAAAGATACTTGGAGCAGTGTAAAGATATTGCTCTTTGTCTCAAACCTAGTGTGCTGCTCTTAATAATAGGACTGGGAAATTATCCATGTATAGCATTGGTGGCAAAGGGTTTTGAAATCCTAAACAACACCAAGATGAACTTGGGGTTCAGAAAGATGTGTGTAACTTGATACTTCAGTAATCTCTGAAATGGGATGCAAGCAACTTTACAATTCTGAAATTATCCTCATTTCATTTGAGTTCTTAGTCTGCAGATCTTACTCAGCATGTTGTCGAAAAAGCACCTCTATATGGCCCACAGTCATGTAAATTAAACCCCAGGGTCTGTTCTTACTGTAAATATCGACAAATAATGAGACAAATATGTTTCTTGGACTTTGAATTCCCATCAGTGAAAAATTTTATATTGATTTCACTACGTGCTATAAAAACTCTTACTATCCAGCATAAATGCTTTAGTTCGATGCAGTTGTATGCACTTTATTTGGTTCTTTGTGGAAAAATTAAGACAGCATACTGTATTTGTGGATCAATTTGGGCTGAAAGCTGATAATTGAACTTGATTGATAAGAGAAGGCTAGAGTATGCATAGCTAACATTTCAATTTAACTCCCACCCCCACCCTGGTTTAGTATAAGAGTTCTCAGCAGCACCTGCAGTAAGTGTGTCCTCGTCTCAACACTTCTCAAATGCATCGATGTTCCTATATTACAGACATTTTAAAATATCTTGGTGCGCATGTTTGACACAATTTTGAAATTTCTCTCTCCTAGACAAAGATGGCTTCCCCTCAGGAGTGCCTGCAGTAAGTGTGCTCATTGCTCCTTAAATCTTTTCTAGGGTTCTCTTTTGCTTGATGTAGTCCAGTCATATTAAGCTACAGTAGCAGCTTGACACATACAATATAGAACATGTAATGCTGAGCATTCCATTATAAAACAACTCACAGTCGCATCCTATGTGGTGCCATTCCAGCTCAACAGCACATAGGATCTCAAAAGCTAAGCCGGGTTGGCCCTGGCTCGTATTTGACCTTCAAGGAATACAGGGCTGTGACGCAGAGGCAGACAATGGCAAACCAAACATCTCTTGCTTTAGAAGCAAGTCTAGCTCGCCACCTAGTGGTGCATAATGCTAAAAGAGCTAGAACTTCTGGCTGCCAGACAATCTTAGGATCTCCTGGCTATACTGCACACACTGCCATACGATAATTAATCAATCAGCACATAGGACTGAGTATTCAGTTATTATGAGAGCATCTTCAGCATTTATTTAAAGAATGTACAGGTAGGGAGTGGGTCCATTTTACCTGTAGGTAACTATCTTTCTTGGTGGTTTTAAACATTAAAGATTTTAAACATTATAAGGATGTTTGTGTGGTATTTTACAATACACCGGTAATTTCTCTGGTATTGAATTGCTTTGCAATACTTATTTGAAAATGTGTCTGCTGTGAGATCAGTTCTGCATCATGCAGTACCCTAGTGCATGTGATGATGTGCCATGATGGCTCAACAGATATGTAACCTGGAAAGATGGTGAAGGCATTGTCTGTATGCAGCATTTGCTTTTGTTGTCTGCTTTGAGATGCAAGGCACTGGAAAGACAGAACTGAATTTCCTTAATTATAGTTAAGCTGTTATTCTTTCTAAGTCACACTTATAGTATTAGAGATATCACTGCTTATGTGACGATCAGGGTTTATACTTATATCCCAGCCAAATTGTTCATAAATATTAAATGCCTAACACAAATTATTTGTTCAGGTACTTTAAAAATTAAGACTATTGGGCTTTCTTGATTTTCTAAAATAAACATAAACATTAGTCCTATATAGATGTTCAGAATGTGCACACGGCTGGGGGTGGGGTGGGTAATTTTGGTTCCCCCATCCTGTCTTGCCCTTCATTGTTCTCCCACCCTGGTTCTTACTTGTGTTGTGCCATGGTTTTCATGGTTGCAAAGGGGTCTACTAAACTGAGGTTGTGCAGTGCAAGCACTATTTTGTGGTGTACAGTTTGCATGTGTTTGCTGAACTTTGCATTTGTAGACCCTATGCACCTGTGAAATATAACACATTAAGAGTGGGTGGAGCAGGCAACATGGGTGCAAGCATTCCAAATGTCAATTTAGGAGTACTGACAACTGAAATGGCATGTGGTATTCTGAACTCTGTTGTGGTGTGCAGTACTATTCTAGCACATATATATTGTGCTGAACTTTTTAAGCGCTTAATAACAGTGCTTGACTTCTTTTACTTTCCTCTTATTAAAAATTCTTACAGCCCAGTGCGAAAGGATCAGAGCCTTCTACCACAACTGAAGAGGAAGAGGATGATGAAGCTGCCCCTCCAGTTATTGCTCCACGGCCAGATCATACAAAATCAGTGAGTTCTACCATTTCTCTTAGTGGTCTGTTCTTTGTGTATCTCTGTGCAGACTTCTTATAAATTAGCAAGCATCCAATTCAGATCTCAGTTTTGCCAGAATTTACTCAGTGAACTTAAATTACTTCCTTTTCTGTCTCAATCTCCAGATTGCACATAGGCTGCTGACCTACATGATTATGTTTTTATGGCATTCCTTGGGCACTAAGGACAGAGCTTGTCTTGAACACTTTGTTTCTAGAGTTTGGAAATATTTGACAATTTTGTTAATTTGGAGCAAAAAAGTACCAGTGTAGTATTGTACCAAATATAGCAATGTTGTGCTTGTGTAATGCTGTGAAATCCACAAACAGCCACAATTGTTTAGGAAAGCTCTTGTTTACCCTATTAATGGGAAACTTCAAATCTTTATAGGAGTCATACAGCAGCAAACGAACAGAGCATTTGTAAGGTCAATTGTCTTTTTAAAAAAAAAAAAAAAATCCTAACACTTGCAGAACCCAAGACAAAGCTCCATATTGGTCAGTAGAGTCTACTAGTGTTTCATACATATTGACTAAAAAGGATTTCTAGCCCTTTACCAGAAATTTGAGGTAGTTTGAAGCTAATGGGCTAGTTGCAGTCAAACTATGGAGTAATAATTATGATTCTGTTTTCTTCAGATTTACACAAGGTCAGTAATAGATCCCATCCCAGCACCATCTAGTGACTCTGGTGACAATGCTGCAAAATCAGGTGATAAGCAGAAAAAGAAAACAAAAATGTCAGATGAAGAGATCATGGAAAAGCTAAGTAAGTTGAAATTTTAAATCATTAAAATTGAGATTTACACCTCATCAGCCTGGAGTTATATGTTCTAAGAATTATGTATGATAAATCAGCTCTTGGACTTTCTAGTTATACTATTTGCTCCATGATTCCCTCATAGAAATTGTGAGCACTACTCTTGGTATGAATGATGTTGTTGAGCATGTTGCTAGTCTTAGCCACCTCTCTAGTATCTGCCACATCCAAAATACCTTCACACATACACCAATAAAATCCATTATACACAGGCTTATGGACTCTTTAGGCAAACACATGGTCAATGGCTGTCGTCCCAGTGGAGAGATCCATGTGCTCCCATGGACTCAGTGCCCAAGGAAACGGACCTTCTTCCTGCTGCACAGAGTTTTTATCATATCTGTTCTCCACCCACTGACCAGGTCATGCCAGATCAAAGAGGCTTTTCCTGGAGATCTCTAGAAATCTCTTTTCCTGAAGTCTTTCTAGTATTGTATTCCTCCAAATCTGTTTCCTATGTGGAAAAGGGGAAGAGCTTGACCCACCCATTATCTCTCCTATTAGATCTATTAGCATTTGTATGAAGGTGAGCTGAGGTATGTCTGGGAAGCAATTGAATCCCCCCCCCCCATGGGGGGGGGGCTTTTAAAACACAAAGTGAAGGTTTTGCTGATTTCAAACCTCCCAGGAAAAAAATGCATTTTTTCATATGAGTAAAAGGAGGTTCTTACAAGAGTGCTGTAGTATAATGGCTAAGAGTAATCCAGGAGACAGCTGGTTTAAATCGTAACACGACAACAAATTCACTGTTCTCCTCATATTGCAGATGGGGGGGGGGTCTGAGAGTGACAGTGGTTTGCTTGCCTCTCAGGCTTCATCTGCAGTATGGGGATCTTATTAACCTACCATCCAGGGATGTTACATGGATTAATCGTAAAATAAGTACTTTTTAAGGACTTCAAGGACTGAATTGATTATGCTTCGCTTTTAGAAAGGGTTAGATCAGTTCCTCAGTACAGAAAAAAACACAACGTAGGATAACAATTATGTGTTTCTTTTCAGTTAAAATTGGTAATGCAACTTCCCAAATCAGTGCCAAATATATACTGGAGTTAGATAATCTTAGTTGGCTTCTAATATTGCATGTGGAATTTTTCTTTTTTAGGAACTATCGTGAGTATAGGAGATCCCAAGAAAAAATATACCAGATATGAAAAAATAGGGCAGGGGTGAGTATTTGTAAATATGATCTGTATGAATGAACTGGCAAACGTTAGTTGAGATACTGTTTTCTTTTTCTTCTTGACATTTTTTATCACTGATTAAAAAAGAAGAAATGCCAGCAATAGATTAGTTTAAACAGCATTAACCAGATATGGGATAGGCTTGTACATTCTAAAATGATTCCTTTAAGAGCTATGATATTGAGCACATACATCACAGAATGAGGGAGGGACTTATGAGCAGAATTCCAGGCACCTTACAAAATAAGTCTATCCCATAACAGCTAGGCAGAAACAGCTAGGGAAGATGTGTAAGCAAGGAATTAGCCTAACTGTTCAACCTAGTTGATTTATAACCATGGTAATCAATCAAGTGCTTCTGTGAAAAGGCATGTTCATCTTCTTGGCTGGGGACTGTGCTTTTGCAGGCTGGCCATGGAGTGGAGCTAGCAAGCTTTATAGAGACGTTTCTAGAGCCCAAGAGTGCTCCCCCTCTCCTCCATCTTCAGGATTGTACTGGCTCAGCTGGTTACCAGGGTGACCACACACTGGAAACTGGAGGTGCAGTCCAGAATCAAGTCAAATAACAGAGCCAAGGGTCAGAGAGCCGGGAAATCAGTCCAAGGTTGCAGGAACAAGGAGCAGTTGCTACAAGCCAGGAGCGGATCTGAGCTTGCACTGTTGCTACTGCGCCGAGGCAGGTGCGTGGGGTGTTTATGAACAAGTCCTCCCTTCCCTGGGAATCAATCTGCCAAGACTCACAGCTCCTCCCGTTGCTTTTGCAAGAGCTAACGCCTGGCAGTCTTCCTTCAGTCTTGCATATTCCGCCTCTGGCGTCCCCTGTGTCTGGGGCACTCAGGAGAACTAGGTGGGGATTCTGGCCTTGGGGTGTCTTCAACTGGGGGTGCTGGGCCAGGCTCTGGATCAGTCTTCTGGCTGCACCTCCTGTGTACCTGCTGTGGCCTTTTCTCCCTCAGGTGCTGTTGAGGGTTCCTCTTCTGGGCTGACTCCAGAGGAGGCTGGGTTGCTCCCTGGCTCTTCCTCGAGGAATCGTCAACCTCAGCAGAGCCAGTACCCATGACAAGCATAGCCTTTCTTGCCCAAAAGGTCATGTGAGAGGAGGGGTGGGTACTGTTCCCTCAGTTCTCTTCCATAAGGATTTCTTTGTCTCTTCTTCAAAAGAAAGGGTAGGATGGCACTTTTAAAGAAATGCAAGGAATGTGGAGCCAAAATGGTGCAAAATGATGAGGACAAAATTGTGCCTCTTATGTTTGGGCGAAGGTCACAATAGTGCCTCATGTCTGGCCTGCTGCTGCCTCACGCCAAAGGCTAGAGAAGGGAGAGCAGCTTGACTCAAAGTGGCTTTGTGGGAAAAAGCTTTGGGAGCCCCAGGCCCGAATTTGAATAAGCACCTAAGCTTATAAAAAAGACCAAGGGCCCCGTTGATTCCGGTCCCCTCGATGGCACAGCTGCCTAAAAAGTCGACCATGACTCAGTCAGCCTCAGAGCCGCCAGCAAAAAAATTGAAGAAAAAGGCTAAACATCTGCACCATGCCTCACTATGCTGTTCACTGTCACCTCGACCCTGATTGTTGCCTTGGCACTGACAATCCCCCTCACCCCGATGTCAAGCTTCACTTTCACCTTGGGGTCAACACAAATTGGCAGGTCATCATCAGTCCTGAGCAGAGTCTCTGAACCGTGCATTGTCGCCGATCAATCATGCTTCTATGTCACCTCAACGGCAGTGATCACCGATACCGATAGATATCGACCTCTCCCTGAGGTCAAGAACTCCATCCCCTTCGGGGCAACACCACCAGTCTTTGAGATTGTTGGAACAGGAAGTCTTTGAGATCCCGCCAGCACAACCTCCAGTGCAATGTGGAGGACAAAGATGAGGGAACCTCGAATCAAAGGCTGTCACGAAATACCCCCTGGTTCTCTTTTCCAGTAATGTTCCCCACACAGAGGGACTCATGGGTCCAGCAGCAATTTCCTCCATGGTACCCACCATCTCCGTCTTCTGAGTCCAGTTGCAAGAAACATGTTACTGCCACTCAGTGTTCCATCATCGATGCAGTGTCAAGTTTTTCTGACTCAGAAGAGGGCATAGATCAGTGCTCAGAACACAAGTTAGAGGATGCATCAGTGCCTTCTCCAGATGACATGGTGGCTGAGCTGTCAGCTGCATCACCCATGGAAGACTTAAAACTGTATGCCGAGCAGCTCATTCGTATGGCTAATGTCTTATGGAATACCTCTCTATGAAGCCCCAGTCTTCAGACTCAATAATGAAGGTCCTGTAGAGTCCAAAATCTGGGTCCGTGGCTCTGCCATTACTGCAAGGCATACAAGATATAGCTATGAACACTTGGTCCAAACCAGCCTCCAATGCAGCTTTGGCTAGGAAGCTTGAAACTTTGTAAAAGGTGAAAGAAGGTTGTGCATACCTCTTTCATCACCCAAGAGCCAACTCCCTGTTCTCCGAGGTTCTTCCAGCTGTAGAGGATGGTTGGTTGCCCACTCTGCACCAATGGACAAGGAGGGCCGTAGACTCGATTTCTTAGGCTGGAAAGTCTACTGATCGTGTGGCAAATTTTACAGCCATTATGGGCTGATATCAGATGCTACTATGGGATAAGATGTCACAGTTTGTAGACTTAATCCTGGATGACAAGAAGCCTTTAGCTAAGCTTCTCATGTTAAAGGGCCAAAAGCTGGGAAAGCAGCAATTAAATGCAGTTCGACATGTAGCCAATTGCCACAGTAGGGCTATGCCGTCAGGGTTGTTATATTGAGATATTCCTGGCTGAGTTTCTCAGCCCTTCCACCAGACACCAGGACCAAAATAGAAGACCTTCCCTTTGAGGGCAGGGAGCTCTTCAGCAACCAGACAGATGAAGTCCTAGATCATATCTGAAAGTATAAGATTACAGTGAAGTCATTGGGTATCACCCCCAGTGCTAACCAGCAGTATAAGCAGAAGTATTGACTCAGAAACTCCCAAAGGTTTCACTACTCAGGACCATTTAGATACTCTGAGTATATGTACCATGCCCCGCCATCCTCTCAACAATCCTTTAGACCTCCTTACTCCCAGCAGTCCTGGAAGCAGAATAGAAATAGGATCAGCAACTCTCCCAGTCCCCAAAGGATCAACAATCTAGGGGTTTGGGAATGCCCTGACTAGCGGGCAAGACCTTCTTTCTAGAGAGATTATCTGCATTCTCTGGTTTTTGGTCAACAGTGACAAATGATGCCCGAGTACTACAAATAAATACAGATTATTCTTTGGAATTCCACTCTCTGCCTCCTTACCAGCCACCTCTTACATTGTCCTCACACTCTTCAGCTTTTCTCACTTAAGAGGTTGTTTATTTATTTATTATTTATTACTTTCAATTTATATCCCACCTTGCTGGGCAACCGGCTCAAGGCGGCGTACAATAGTCAAATAGAATAAAACAGTAAAATGCAATAAAGTCACATAGACAACAATTACAAAAAGCGCAAGTGTTCATGCATACAGATGGCGGTTCCTATGATGAAAACCAATAGAAGAAGCCAATCTCCAGCATGACAGCCAATAAAGTGGTCCGAAGGCAGTATCCAGCGTTGTAGCATGGGCCATAGCGTGTTTAATTCCGATGACTTAGTTTGCTGTGGCGGCTCCTAATCGAAAGCCTGGTGGAAAAGCTCCGTTTTACAGGCTCTGCGGAACTGTAAAAGGTCCCGCAGGACTCTGATGTCTTCCAGGAGCTCATTACACCAGAGCCGCCACAGTGGAGCCACCACTGAAAAGGGCCTGGCTCTAGTGATGGCCAATCTGGCATCCTTCGGATCAGGGACAGTCAGACGGTTTTGTGTCCCTGACCTCAGTGCTCTCTGGGGGACATACGGGGAAAGGCGGTCCGTCAGGTAGACAGGCCCTCGACCATGTAGGTCTTTAAAGGTCAAAACCAGCACCTTGAAACGAATCCGGTGTGCTGTTAGCAGCCAGTGCAGTGCCTTCAGCACAGGCTGGATGTGATCTCGTATGGCGATACCCATCAACAGCCTGGCTGCCGCATTTTGCACTAGCTGCAGCTTCCGGATTTGAGACAAGGGCAGCCCCATGTAGAGAGCATTGCAGTAGTCCAATCTTGAGGTGAACGCTGCCGACAGGTCCAACAACAACAGTACTGCCATACCACCTTGATCCAGATGCCTCCGGAGGTCGTCTGTGAGGGCGACCAGTGCCGTCTCCGTCCCATGGCCTGGCCGAAAGCCGGACTGGAACGGGTCTAGCGTGGAAGTGTCATCCATAAAGCTCTGCAACTGAATCACCACTGCTGTCTCTAGTAATTTGCCCAAATAGGGCAGATTGGAGACTGGCCAATAGTTGGCCAATTCGGCCGGGTCCAAGGATGGTTTTTACAAGAGAGGGCGGACCATCGCTTCCTTGAGTGCCCCCGGGAACTGTCCCTCAGTGAGGGACTTGTTCATAATATCTCTGAGGGCACCTCGAAACCCCTCATGGCCAGCTTTTATAAGCCATGAAGAGCACGGGTCAAGGCTGCACATGGTTGGGCGTACTGTTGAGAGCAATCTGTCGATTCCCTCAAGGCTGAGTGTACTGAAATAATCCAGAATAGAACCAGAAGATGTGCATGGAACTTCAAGTTCACTCACTGTCTCAACTGTGGCGGGGAGGTCGCGGCGGAGCAACAGGACTTTATCTGCAAAATAGCTCGCAAAAGCCTCACAGCCATTACTAAGGGGGGGACATCACAAGGGTTTCCCCAGACTCAAGCACTATAGGGTTTCCCCCCGGATACTTTGCAATAGACAAAAAAGAGGGCGGAAAGAGGCCCGTCTTCGATCTCAGGGGCCTGAATAAATACTTACATGTTCCAAAGTTCAGGATGTTGTCCTTGCAGGAAATCCTCCCCTTACTGGGCAGAGGTCTTTGCAGTACTTGATCTGGAGGACACCTGCTTCCACTTAGTACATCAGATTCCTTTATGAGAACAGCATATACAAATATACAGTCTTGTCTCTTGGGATAGTGTCAGCACCATGGTGGTTTCCACGTGCACATCAGTGGTCGTCTCCTACTTGGCTCATTGTAGCTGCCTCCCTGGAGACCCTAAGGAAGGATTTGGATTGTGCTTTGCAAACCTTAAATAATCTTGGGTTCCTTATCAACAAGAAGAAATCTCGCCTATCTCCTGCTCAATCGATAGACTTCATAGGTGCTCATATTGATTTGATAAAGGGAAGGGCATTCCTACCATTATCAAGAGCTGGACATATTAGATCACTGGCCCAGAAATTCTTGGTTTGGAGATTTCAGTCTGCCAGAAACATTCAAAGATTATCAGGATATATGGCTTCCACTACAGCAATACCCCCCCACGCGGCTCTTCATGAGACTGCTCCAAAGCTGGTTCCTATGAGAGTTCCATCTAGTCTCAGAGTCGCAATGGAAAAGGCTTTCGATTCCCAGATCCATCCTTAGAACCCTTAATTGGTGGACCAGATCTCCACATCTGCTCAAGGGAACCTGGTTGGGAACCCATTCACATGAAATACAAGTCTTTACAGATGCCTCCTTAACGGGTTGGGAGGCACATCGTGGGGTGCATATGGCTAAGGGCCTATGGTCTGAAGCCGAAGCTAAACTACACATTAACCTGTTGGAGGATAGGACTATAAGGAACGCTCTTGCTTCTTTTACAGAATTACTTCAGGGTCGGCAATTGCTCCTGGCTATGGACAACATGACAGCCAAATTTTACACAAACAAGCAAGGAGGCACAGGATCCATGAATTTATACACCAAAGTGTCTCACATCTGGCATTGGGCAATAAGGCACGGGATGCATTTAACAGTCATACACATAGCAGGGCCACACAAGACTTTAGCAAACATCCTAAGCAGGGATGTGTCCGTAAGTCAAGCGTGGTCAATCACTGGCCATTACCTTCATCCAATTTTTCAGGAATGGGAATCCCCCAAAATAGATATTTTTGCAGCTACAGCTGCAGCTACAGCAAACACCAAATGCTCCCATTTTTGCCCCAGGGCAGCAGCAGACTGCAACTCACTTAGGGATGTGTTCCAGGACATTAACATGGGTACCTGTTTTATGCATTCCCCCCCTTTTGGTATTTTTCACAGGCTGGTCACCAAACTGAAGGCAGGAAAAATGAACTGCATACTTGTTGCACCCTGTTGGCCAAGACGGGTATGGTTCCTGCTGCTCTGGAATTTGGCAAGGGGAATTCACAAATCCCTCCCATTGGAGGAGGATCTTCTACAAGCGGGCCCGATCCACCACCCTGGGCTCAGGTCCTTACACCTAATGGCTTGGTTGATCAACCCCTACTGCCATTGACATGGAGGGTGATAGAGGTAATGATTGCCTCTTGCAGACCTTCCACAAGAAGGTCATATGAGTATAAATGGAAAAGGTTCTCAATAAGGGTAAAGGGACAAGGGATTAGTTCAGAAACCTGTGACGCGTCTAAGATATTTGAGTGCCTCCTTACCTGAAGGATGAGGGCTTAGCACCTTCATCCATTAAAGTCCACTTGGCTGCGATCTCAGGGTTCCACAGTTTTCTCTATTGTGGAGTCCAAACAGTTCTTTAAAGGTTTGTTGAATTACACCCTGTCCCACAATGGAGTTTATCTCTGGTTTAGTCCATATTAATTTATAAACCATTTGAACCGTTGGCATGGTCTGATTTGTCTTTTCTTTCATATAAGACAGCGTTTTTGGTGGCTATCACCTCTGCCCACAGGGTGGAAGAACTCCCTTTCAAAAATTCCATATAGACAAAGTGGTGCTGAGACCACACTTGGAGTTTCTCCCTAAGATAGTCTCCTGGTTCCACATGGGTCAGGACATCACCCTTTCATCCCCCCCCCCTTACTATACATCAGAAAGGACACTGCACATGTTACACATTAGAAGGGCTCTCGTATTCATCTGTTTCAGAGGTTACAATAAAGGGAAGGCCACCTCTGCACAAACTTTGTCTAGATGGACAGGTTCCACAATTAGAACAGCATACATTGAAACAGGCAGGAGCTGTCCAGTCACTGTATCTGCGCCCTCTGTGAGGGCTCAGGCTTCATCAGTAGCCTTCTCATCCAGGTTACCTCTTGAGGATATATGCAAGGCAGCCACCTGGCCAGTGCCCTTGACTTTTGTACTGTATTACTCCTTGGATGTCAACTCCCAGAGTGAGCTGTGAGGAAGACAGTATTACAGTTAGTCTTCCACTGATCCAGCCCACACCCTCCTCCTTGGTAAGTGAACTTGCTATTCTCCCATGTGGGACTGCGCAGAAGCCACGAAGATGAAAACAGGGTTGCACTTACCTGTAACCATTGTTCATCGAGTGCTCTTCTGTGCAGGCACACATCCCTCTCTCCTTTCCCCGTTTGGGTTTCTCAGGCTCACTTCTTATGGTGGTGAAGGGAGAGTGCTCGCCCTCCTCCATCACATGGTCCTTTGGGCAGTAAAGGCTATGCTGAAGACAGAGAGGAGGGGGAGCATTCTTGGGCTCTAGAAACTTCTCTGTAAAGATTGCTAGCTCCTCTCCATGGCCAGCCTGCAAAAGCAGTCCCCATATGTGCCTGCACAGAAAACCACTTGATGAACAACAGTTAGAGGTAAGTGCAACCCCATTTTCTAACTTTTCTACATGTGTGTTACATTGGTTCATTGAGTGTCTCCTTTTACCTGTAATTCAGTGACTAGTTTACTTGAGAAAAATGAAGTAATGTTTAATTAAATCATCTAGGAAAGCCACAATGTAATCTTTGCTTGTTGAACAGTGTGTTTGTTAAATATCTGAACTCTTGTACCTTATTCCTTTTTTTTTTTAAATAGGGCTTCAGGTACCGTTTTCATTGCCATAGATGTGGCAACAGGACAGGAGGTAAGGGTGAAATACCTTCTAATGTATTTGGATTTTTTTTACCAGTGACACTCATCTCTAACATCACTCCCCAGCAGCATATTTCTCATAGTTGTTAGCAAAAGTAACTACTTCTTCTTTTTTTTTGAGCCCCAGGAGGGGATTTTTTAATTGATTTTTTTTAACACTACAAAAAACTACAATGGAAAAGGGGGAGGGAAAAACTACATATAAGGGAGAAAGTAAAAAACCCACTACTGACTAAAAACCCAAGAGAGGAGATCCTCTAACTAGCTTTTTTTTTTTAAGCATCCAAACTTATCATCTTTGTACTTCTTATGAACTGTGTCAATCTTTTAGAACTTTTAACCCTCCCCATTTACATTTAATTGCCCAATAACAGTGCCCCCATCATCCCCTGGAACCAAAGTTCTCAAAGGCACAATTCAGAGTCCTTCAGCCTTTACTTCTTCTCTCTTTTCCGCAGTTTGTAGGGACTTTTCGGGGCTGCTGCCCCCTGCTCAGACAAAGAGTCCTCACCAGATGAACCAGTTTCCAGCTCACCGCTGGACTTGCTGTCTTCTTCTTTTTTCTCTTCCTCTGACCTTCCCAGGTGCTCCTTTAGAAATTCTTGAGCTTTAAGAACAGAGTCAATCTTAACCTTCTTCTCTTTGATCTTAAATGCTACTCCTTCTGGAAATAGCCATTTGTATCCAATTGAATTTGTTTGGAGGAAGAGCACAAGTTCTTTGTATTTCTTTCTCTGTTGCCTTACTTCAAATGGAATATCAGTAGCTCACTCATCAGTTCTTTAAGATTCTCTCCTCTATTCTCTGGCACCCCTTGGAAGCGCAGGACCATGTTGGCCTTATCCATTTGCACTTGCAGCATCTGATCTTCCAAAGAAACAGTTTTCTTTTCCAATTTTTGCACTTTCTTCCTCACTTTCTGCATTGTCTCAGCCATTTCCTTTACTTTCTCCGCATCCTGCTTCATTACTTGGATCAAGTCCGTTATTTGCGTTTGTTGAGCAGTGATGCTTGTTGTTACAACTGCAAGCTGCTTTTGCTGCGCTGTTATATTCGCTGTTACCACCGACATCTGCTCTTTAAAGACATTGAGCTGTTCCAGTAGAGGGCGCATGACCTCAGCCATCGCCTTGGTCGTCTCACTGGTTGTTTCCGGTCTTGGGGACTCTGGTTTCGTTTTTAAAAGTTTCTCTTTGTCTCTGTCCCTCTTCCCCGCCATCTTTTCCCTGTTTGTTTACTTTCACGAAAACTTTTTAAAGCCTCTGAATATGTGCTTAACTGTATAGCTCGATTGGCTGAGTACTTTTGGGCAATCACACGTTTATTCTTCCGCTCCCCCCCCTTTCGCTCAGTGATTTACGCATGGGAGGCGTCCCTCCCCCGCTCGCTTCTGCCGCCGTGCCGGGTAGGGAGCGTCTTTTCTTTTAAAAACCTTATCTCAGTTGACTCACGTTCATAGTTGGTCTTCCGACCCCACTACATTAATAATTTCTGATGCCCGATCTCCTAGCTTCACTTGTACCGTTCGGTCTCTCAGCTGGACAAACCACTGGAGTGGTTCAGCCATCGAAGAGGCTACCCCCCCAAAGCTCCTTGGCCAGGGACCCTTCGCCGGGCCCCTGGGGGTGTTAACGAGCCTGCTCACCCCCTTCCTCCGCCAGAGCATGAAGACACCCTGGGAGGTCCAGGAGGTGAGTCCGTGAGCGTGCCGCCATCAACCGGAAGTCAAAAGTAACTACTTCTTCTGTAGAATCAGGTGATAGTAGAAAAAGAAGAAGAAGAAGAGATTGGATTTATATCCCGCCCTTCACTACCCAAAGGTGTCTCAGAGTGGCTTACAAACTCCTTTCCCTTCCCCTCCCCACAACAGAAACCCTGTGAGATAGGTGGGGCTAAGAGAGTTCTTGATAGAAACTGCTCTTTTTCAAGAACAGCTCTTATCAGAACTATGGCTTGCCCAAGGTCATCCAGCCAGGTGCAAGTGGAGGAGTGGGGAATTAAACCCGTTTCCCCCAGATTAGAGTCTGCGCACTTAACCACTACACCAAACTGCCTCTTTCTCTCTCAAGGCATATTCTATCGTTAGTGAAAATCAAACCCATGGAATGCCTTGTAGTTGTGGATTACAAAGTTATACTCTTCATCTTTTTTGCTTGTGTAAAATTTCAGTTCATTTGAGACCTGAATATATACTGAGACTCCGAGTGAAGGGCGGGGTATAAATCCAATCTTCTTCTCCTTCTCCTTCTCCTTCTCCTTCTCCTTCTTCTTCTCCTTCTCCTTCTTC